GGGCCTGTCATTATCTTACTCTGTCATTAGAGGCTACATTGGCCTGTGTATGTCAGTCTATTTGGACAGCAACTCTTTTGCTAGCAGTGTTCCCTACATTTATTAAAATCCCCGAAGGTAGTGTTGTGTTCCATTTCTGGTATAAAAGCCCTGAACCTTTTGCGCAGAAACAGAAATAGTGTGATATAACCGTGACTTAATATTTCCAGAGAATGGTCAATTATAGCTATTTAAATAAACACTGGCTCCATTTTTTTAGGACCAAGAAAGTATGGAAACTAGAAACGTAATTCTCATTTCATTTGGGAAAAAAAATTATTCGTCTCTTGCAGAAGCTTTTTTTTCTTTTTACTGTGCATGTTTTTATTTTCCCAAAGTGCAGTTTATTTCTAATGAGAACACAGATGTCTTTTGAATCCCACCATTATTTTGAAATAGTATGTCACAAACAAGGGAGTAACATCTTATAAAAACAAGCTTTTTTAATCATTAAAGAAACTCTTGGTAACTTGATACTATTTTCCATGGGCCCAAATTTCATACTGGCAGAAACGAAGAAACCTCCAGCAGACCTACCTCTGAGCATGAGATTCAAGCTTTCTAAAATACTTTTTCTCTTAAAATTAGGGTCAGTGACCTTTTTCCCATGGTATACTCATGTGTGATCCAAAACTGAGTTTGTTGGGTTTTTTTCAATCTTACTAAATTCTTCCCCATCTCCATACTTTCTAATTGTAGAATTCTGACTATCAGGTTTACACAGTGTGATCTATCATTTTTAAAGTATATTTTTGGCCTAATTTTTTATTGTGGTGGACTGGTGTAGCTTTGCTCATTTTATTAGACTAAATATGTTTGCAACAGCAAAGAATTTAACATCTGGTTTCTTTGTATTTGTCAACTGGAGGTTTTTTTGTTTGGTTTATCTGTCAGGATAATAATGTCTCCTTAGATCTAAAAAAAAAAGTGTAGGTTCTTATTGCAGATACTTTTCATTATAAACTAACCCGAACATTTTTATATTAATGTGGTGTGCATATTTTGTCCACTCTGCTTTACAAATAATGTCTGACTAAACGTTAGTGGTCTTTTTGAAGATATATTTTTGTATGTTTTCTGTCTACCCTCATAAAATAAAATAAGTCTTGAAGTTTCTGTGAATGTGAAGATTCCTGCAAGGATGGGAATTGCTGATTATCTTCGTCAAGATTTTTTTTTATAATTTAAAACTGAACTGTGCTGTGTTTGATAATTGCTCAGTTCCAAAATATCTGAGGAAAAAGTATTACTTCACAGCGTTGCTAATTATGTTTTAGCTTATCTTTAATGAGCAAAACTGAGATGTTTCACAGGTGGACAGAATACAAATCAAAGTAAATAATTCACAACAAATTGTTTACAATTGTGTACAGGCTTTATAAAATTATTAAATATTGGTCTGGTTATTAAGTGTAAACACTTCACACTATGTACACGTTATTTGAAGAAAAAATCCATTTTTGCACAATTAAGATAGTAGAACTTCATAGATGAAATACAGATTTTATTGGCTTGAATCATGTAGCCTTTAAAATGTATTTTAGTCTAGAAACAAAACCATTATCCATCACTGAATCCTCAGCATAGTGCAATTTTCAGCCTGCCATTACCAGGTTAATGTTTCTTACAAGTTGGTTCTTTCATTGACTTTTAAGGAATTAGTGTGTTACAGTTGCTGTGGTTGTAGCTTATTAACATCAAAAATGTGTAATTGCAGTTGATGGGCTGCAGTAAATATTATTTTTATTATTTTTAAGCTCTCCTGTGTTTTAAATCTGTATTTGTTTTTCCAGGATGATGATGTTTGATGCTGGGGTTTTGTGTGTTGTACTTGCTCGAGCTAAAAATGAACTAGTTAAGCTTAAATATGAACTAGCTAGATTAAAACCTACCCAATGAGCATTACATTAAAAAAAAGATTTAGTGGCAGTCTGGACTGGCAGAGGAAGGTGTAGAGCAGGGGACCGCAGCCACTTTGTGCCGGAGCAGTGGCAACACAGTTGGGCCCTTGCTGACACTCACCTTTCTTTAAAACACTCCTCACACCTAACTGCCTGCATTTTCTTCACAACTGTGCCCAAACACAAACCTGGCCCTGCAATAAACTCTCTGTAGCCTTTCTGCTTCTTTTTTTTTTTTTTAAGTTTGGAATTGACCAAAAAAGAATGTGAGTCTGTCTTTCACAAATAGCTTGCCAGTGGCAAAAGTTCAGTACTTCAAGCTTCGTGAGTTATTAGTCCTAGAAGGATAGTTGCCCACTGTTCGGGGGGGGCGAGGGGGGGGGATGTTGTAGAACATCAAAACTGTGCATCATTATAATTTGTCTTTCTGTAGAGAAATTTGGCTTGGTCTTACGATTATGTGCCTGCCTGCCATACTGCAGAGCTGCAAACCCCATTTTAAGGGGGTGTTGCAGAGCTCCATAGTGCAGAGACAGGGTTTCCTGTGCCTGGCAGAGAATTTCTGTACAGCTAAGGTTTAAAAACTATGAAATGTCCAAAAAAAAAAAAAAAAAAAAAAAGACAATACGTAATTAATTCAACAGGGTGCTACATTTTCAGCACGTGAAAATTTGCAGTGCCAAAACAGTACATTTATTCTCTTTCAAAATTCATCTCTGGAATTCAGAAGTAAAATGCAATGTTAATGCCACATTGTAGTTTAAAAATGAGATTAAAGAAAACATGCAATGGCAGGCATTGGATTTGGCCCATGCTTTCCGGAGGGCTCCCTCTGGATGTTGGCAGCAACATGTGCCTCTCGCCCAGCTGTGCACAGCATCACCTCAAAACCCACCGGGGATGCTGGCCGTGGAAGGACGGGTCTCCCCACCAGCCGTCAGTGGGTCCCCCAGAACCCACAGCCAGCACAGGGGCTTCAGCCCATGGACGGCCCCCACCTGCCTACTCGCATACAGCCCAGTTAGCCTCGTGTCCTGTAGCTGAGCAATGTCATCATCTGGTGTGCTGCTGGGCAGCGATGCACAACTTTTGCTTTTCTCGAATTTTTAATTGGCAACCCTTGTGCACCTTGCAGTCTTTCACAATTTTTTTTTCCCCTCCCTGCAACGTTTCGTTTTTCCGGTCTCATTCTCGCAAATACAGCTTAACCGCGGTCTATCCTGTTGCAATGTATAGCTCATTCCTAGAAAGAATGGATTTAATTAAGCAAAATGAGAAAATGTCTTTACATTTCTGCATATGTTTAGGTGTATTACAATGGCTACCATGGTGACACTTCTGAAACGTTTTTGGTGGGCAATGTGGATAAATCTGGTCAAAAGTTAGTGGAGGTTGCCAGGAAATGTAGAGATGAAGCAATTGCAGCTTGCAGACCAGGGGCTCCCTTCTCTGTAATTGGAAACACAATCAGGTAAGCCTTTTATTGACAAGTAAAGGGAGGGCTGGCAAGTGGGACAAAGGTTATTGGTGGTTTAGTATAAAGCTGATGACATGTTTTATGATTCAAAACCATCATTTCGGTCTGATATCAGTATGTGAACTGCCAAGCTATAATGTTGTTCCTTGGATAAGAGAGATTTTTTTTTTTAAGTGAATTACACTAGGGTCGGCAAAGATAACTGTAGAAAGAGTCAAAGATATTCATAAGGTAGCTTTAAATTAATAGATGTAATTTGCGGTGGATTTTTGTTTATTTTTTATTTGTGTGTGAAACCACGCCACATCTGTCTAACAATGTAAGAAGGTTACAAACCATTGTTTTCGTTGTACAGCAATAACGAAAGTGACAAAGGAATTAGTCAACATAAATAAGTCTCTTTGTTTAAAAAGTACAAAAATATTTAACTCGAGAACTTCTGATCTTACAAAGCGGTGCATGCTAACATCACAGGGAAAAAAGAGCTCACATTCAAAGATTTTTTTCCCTATTTTGCATCTCTTCTAGCCTTCACATAAATGCAGTCACGACTCTTCTTCTGCTGGCAGTTTTGAATAAAAATACGGCTTAGTTTTTTGAAGGTACCTATGGATTATTTTAAAATGTTTGCCAAAAAAAAAAGGCATATATCATATACATTTCATTAAGCAATACTTCGCTGGACTATTAACAGTCTCAACATGCTATTGAATACGTTCTGATTACTTAAAAGCTGCAAGGCTTAGTCACCTTGAAAGGATGCTGCTTTTTTTTCTTTGTAAATCTTCAAATACTTTAAGGAAGAAAGAGAACGGCAAAATATCAGTTAGATGTATTTATAGCTTTAAAAATATTGTAACAGAGTCTGAATCAAACTTTAGTAAAACCTCTTTGGGTTATATCTGAGAAGCTTTTATTGAAGACTTTGTATAAAATTGTGTTTTTGACAGTTTTAAATTATAGGCTAACTAGCCTGGAGAAAAAGGATAGTGTCTTTCTGTTCTTTCATAGGAAATGTTGAATCAGACCCCTACTGGGAAAAGAAATTTAATGCATATCTCACTATCTTACTGTCCATGAATATAATAGAAGTGAATTCAAAATGTAGTTTTATTTTTGCAAATGGGATGAGTCGATAGATGCACCTCATATTTTTGAACACCTAGGGTTCAACAAATTTACTGGTGGTGCTCTTGCATTTTAACAAAATTTATTCTTGAGTAGAAGGGGGCACAGAACACTGGATTCTTATTCAAGCATTCTATCGAGCTCTGCATTCATGGCTGTGTCTAAAGGGCATGTCAGCCTTTGATTCTCTCTGAGAGGTAATTATCCTTTTCCTGTCACGGAACAACAAATGATAGCTAACTACAGAGGCACATTTGCAGTAGTCACATTCATCAACTGCAGAAAAAAAATTCAATTTAATTGTGCAACACAGCTGCACATAGGCTTTTTGAGCATTTCTGTTGTTCTCCCTGTCTTGCTATTCCTCCCTCCAGATCTATTTTTTAAACTTTTTTTCTGGTTATTTTTTTCCCCCTTTTTGTCTCTTCTTCCATTTTTACTCTCTGTACTTTCTTGTTAAAGTAATTTTCCTTTGTGGCTCTCATTCTTTTTTCCCCATTGAAGGCTATGAATGTAGAAAATTATCACAATTACTCATATAATTGAGCCTCTTTGTAGCAAGTGCAACTCCAGTAGCCTTTCTCCATCATGAAAATGGTTTCATTATAGGGTTTTTCATATTCTCTGACACCATCTACACAGAGGAACAGGCGTGCAGATGAGATGTACTAGGAACAGGGTAGATCAGTAAGGTCACAGTAGGAATAATTAGCTCTGCTATGGAAAGAGCATCTAGGCCTTTTACTGCTACATAAATGTACTGTCCGTGGCTTTTAGTCACAAAAAAACTTACTAACAAATGGAGCTCCCGCCTACTACTTTGAAAAAAAGATTTGTATCAACACTACAATTTTCCATCATTAAGACTAATAACACAGAGCCTAGTATACATCAAGGGGAATAAAAAGAAAAATCTCACATTCAAGTGGCGGCTGGGTGCTGACCTTTGTTCCCTTTTTTTGTGTTCAACTTAACTCTTTACAAAAAAGAGCCACACGCCACACCAACATGCAGGTGAACTCCAGCTAGTGCTAGCAAAGCATGGCATTCAGTTGGAAAATCTGATAAATCTCCATGCAGGATAATGCATTTCATTACAGATTCACTACATTAATTCTAGCTGTATTAAAAAAAAAAAAAAAAAGAGAGAAGAAGAAAAAGAACAGAATTGAATGTGACATTGGATTTTTGCTGTGTTGGTACGGAGGTCAGTTTACTTGCAAAGTGTAAATATATAGTCAACGCCCCCTTTGAAAAGCAGATTAATCAAAGCTAGTAGCTGTTCAAAACTGCATATGAAATAGCAGGTCATTAACTTTATTTCTCAAGATTTTATTGTGTCGACGCTTTAAATGTGCTCATTTGTTTAGAATTACTTTAACACTGCCTCTGCTGAAAGATTGCCTTGGTTTGGTAAGCGGTGTGTTTCTGGTTATTCGTCTTTCGATATTTGCATGCAGACAGACCTATATAATACATACTTGCATCAAAATCTTAAGTTTCAGGAGAGTTAGATATCATAAATACCTGAGAACAAGCACCCACAAGCTGAAAACATTTAAGCCCATTAGAACGGAAATGTGTTTGGGTTTCTTTCATCAGTATTCCTGTAAGGGTGCTCAAATGATACGCAGAACATATCTTAGGCACAAATAATCAGAATATTTCCTTTTTGCAATAGGTTTGGGAATAATTATATTGCAGAGGTAAGTTTGCATTCAGTATTCTAACACAGTCTTTGTTATGGAAGCTCGGTAGCTGACACTGGGTATTTCGTGGATATGAAATACTGGGTTCCTTCTCCCATCAGCTACAAGTTGCAAATAAGAGATTGCATGGATTCGTGAGTTACTTCACTTGGAAGAATTTGAATCTTTGCTAACCTGTTCTTATTGAAGGTGGTGGCAAAACTGTCAGTCAACTCCAGTGGGAACAGAATTGGGCCCTATGTTCCATTTTCTTCTACCATTTCTGACACTTCTTTTTCAGACAGAAACAAATCTAGTTTGAAATCTGCTCTTTAGACAGTGAGTTTAGGGATGTGGAAGTGTTGTGAGTGTAGAGAGTTAAAAAATGTAAACGTGATACTGTTAAATAAACCAATTTCCAACTCCTAGGAAAAAATAGTAGCGATGAAAGTATTAATAAATGGTTTAAAATGTTTAACTCATAAGTATATGTTTTGATATTAATTTAGAACAATATAAAGCAGATTTAAAAAAAAAAATCTGTTTCTATCAGATTATGCACATTTAAACAATAAGTGGCTCAGGCAAAATAAGTCATTTTAATGTCATCTGTGATAGATTTTCCTTGACAGCTACTGTAAATTACAATTACACTGCTTCTCTCTGCACTTGAAAGTAAGCATTGCAATAAATTATCTTTTATCTCAATCCATCATGTCTGCTTTCAGAAACAGAGAACCTCAAATAAAAGTTCAGCACTATTGTAAGAAAAATACAGTAATTTGTGTTCCAGTTTGAAACTAAAATGTACCTTTCTTTCAAAAAACAATTGTTGGCTTTCAAAAAATACTACTAATTATACCTCAACATTTACTGTCATTATAGGGAATCCCTGAACTTGTGCATTCCCTCAGTCTAGGATTACTATTTAAGAGAAAAATACTTTCATATTTCCTAGTAGAATTTTGAGATTTCTCAAATTATATAATATGGTACTATTCAGAATAGCATTTTTATCATGAGCAAATCTAGTTTAGTCTGGTGCTGTTTTCAAGAATTACAAAAAAAAGGCAAATGCGCCATTCAGTCATCATTTTGCTAACAATGTATCTAAGAAAAACATGATTACTTCTCATTAAAAAGAAAAAAATGCATTCATATGGATCCTTAAGTAAGAAAACAATTATCATGGGTCTGTTACTGCTTTCAGTGTTTCTCAAGCGTATTTGCTGCCCAGAAGCATAAGACAGGTTTGTTTAGCAACTTCAGCCATTTATGTCATGCTGCTCTGCAAGACCACTGTTGGTAAAGCTTCATCCTTGGGAAGAGAAGCCAGCATTGCGGGAGAAGCGTCCCTGGCTGGGAATCGGTTCACCAGGATGTTCAGCCTGGGTGACAAAGCAGCCTGTGCCATCTTGTCTTCCCTGGTGCCACCAAGAGCCCAGAGACGCAGTTGCTATCAATGCTGAACCTTGAGGAAAAAGTGGCAAAATTTGGTAAAAAGAAAATAAAATGCAGGTTTTGGGGTGGTTTTCATTCCCCCCCAAAAAATGGGTGTTCCAGTCGTAAGACTGAATGGATGGTTTTTCCTCTGGAGCTGGGATGCCTGTTATCCCACAGACGCTCCTAGAGGCTAGCAGCTGCGCAGGGCCAGCCCCCAAGGGAAGCTCCTACGACCTGCTTTTCAGCTTCTTAGCAAGAGAGGCTTATCCCGTTCACCCAAGAATTCCTTACAGGGGAGGCTGCAGAGTATCGGGGAGAGCTTTGTAAAGAGTCGGTCCTGCCTGTTGCTGCTTTGTGGCATTTTTCCTGCTGGGCTGCTGGCAGGACAGCAGTGCGTGTCCCCACACTTATCCCTCCTTTCGGAGAATTAGCTGTTGTCTGGCAACATGGGCAGAGGATGCTCGGGAGAGAACTGACACCCAACTCCCCGTCTTTGTCCACTCTCAGAAGCACGATACCACCATATGAGAGGCTCTGCCTATGGATTTAGGTGGACAGCCTGGCCCTCCGTGATGTTCCTTTTACTAGCTGGGTCACTGCCGGTCCATCCTGATGCCAGACTCTTTGCCATCAGCAAAAGAGGAGCAGCACTGCAGGTACTCTTGACTCTGCAGCCACTGGGCTGGAACACATGGCAGCGAAACATAAAATCAAGTACTGGGCTCATTAAATTAT